TTTGCAAAAGACTTTGTGAATTGAATAGTAATAAAGTCCAGAAATGAAAGAAGAGCAAAGTTATAAATGTACCGCCTCACTCTTTTCCATAAGACTCAACTGCATACGATTCACATATTTATTTATCAAGTGTTTTGAAGTTTTTGATTTAAGAAATAATTTTAGTTTTAAGGATGCAAAAGGGGGATGAAAAATCTAAGGGAAATTATATTCCTAATATTATAATACAATGGTGTTCCTAAAGTTAGGATTAACAAAGGGAAAAATCTACCTAGTGTTAGCATACAAGGATAGACTTAAGGGCCCGGGTAAAAATCCTAAGGGAACATAAAATGAGAGCGAAGTTATCATCTCAATTCTAATTGAGTGACACATCAATCAACAACAAATAAAGGAAAGAAATAAATTCTTATAGGGAACATGCACTGAGAGCGAAGTCGTTATCTCAATTCTAATTGAGTGACACATTGATTCAACAATAAGAAAAGGAAAAGAAATAATATCCTATAGAGAACATACAAAGACAAGATAAGAACATAAAAAAACAAAATAAAGTGGCTTAAGAGCCTACCAACTGAAGTTGCTCGAAAAATAAGACGAAGTAACCTCGGATGGAACAAATAGAGTCACCACCTAACTTTATTAATAAAAAAAACAGGGAAAGGAAAATATAGAGAAAACCTTTGGTATCGGGAAAAGAACATGGTTTCGCAACCAAATCTCGGGTAAGGGAGTTGATTACGCAAGGGGAAGGTATTAACACCCCTCACGTCCGTGGTACTCCACGGGATCCACTCTTGTTATCTTAATCAATGGGTGTGTATATCTAAAACTTACTTGCTAAAGGGAAATGCATGCATAAATTCATTGGGAAAAAGAAAAGGTTTTTATTAGTGCGTTCGTTCGAGTTGTGAAACTCAATGCCTACGTATCTCGCGATGGAATTAAAACACTGCAGTTCTTCTTAAAAATATTTTGTTTGTTGTGTGTTTTTTATAGATGACGTTAAATTCGCATTCTAACAGTTAATGTGCCACTCGATCGTTGGAGACTATGCATCGTTGTTTTGTATATAATGGAGTTAACGTATCCTTTTTGAAAATTTTTTAAGGTGAAAAATCCCTAAGGCAAAATGATTTGGATTTGGTTTGTGTTTTTGTTAGGAGAGAGGGTAACAAGTGGGCCCTTATCCAAGGAGACACCCATCACCTTCACACCTTTAGTTTTGAAAGGGTTTTGATTATTGTTAAATGTTTTTGGATTTTTTAATGAGAAAATATTTTAGTCTTAATGATACAATGCAAAAGGAAAAGAAAAGTATAAATGGGAGACTTGTTGATCCTAAAGTTGTCATGCAAAGTTTGGACTTAGGTTTTGGATTATGGGGAAATTCTACCCTAATATTGTAATACTTGAATTAAAGTCCTAATGTCTACCTTGATTCAAATTTCATCAAGGATTTAATATGGACCAAGTAATCTTAAGGGCACATGTTATTCAACAAGAAAATATCACACAAGTGGATGAGAATCCATGGGTTTATTTGGTAAAAGTTGTGACAAAATAGTGAAAGTTGAAAGCATGTTTTTGATGTTTTATGGTTTATAATTTAAAAGAGTTTATGAATAAAATATGTTCAAAAATAAGACAAGCTTGTGAAAACATGGATGAATTGGATGTTTGAAACAAGTGTATGCATCACAATCACAATTAAAAGTCATGGAGCATAACTTTTGATTTTGAACATGTTTCATGATTTAATATGAATTTTGGATGAGAAAATTTGTAAAATGGATCTAGCTATCATGAAAAGCTTACTCAAGTGTCAAGATATCTCATGAGAACCAAGACCTATCATGGTAAGATCAAGCTTTATGAGCAAAGTTGAGAAATTGATCAAAGGATCGTCAAAAGTCTCTTTAAAAACCCTAAAAAAAGTGATGACTTTGATTTAATTGAAGAATGATGAAATAAAAAAATATTTTTGTGATCTTTTTTTTATATTCATAAAGTATAGGTAGTGAACTAGTAGTGTGCAAAAAATCAGCTTAAAAGAGTTGTATTTGGTTGCCAAAAGAATTGAATGAAAATGAAGTAAAAAATGAAGTTCAAATACATGCCGCATTGATTACCATTAGGGTGGCTGTTTCATTCGTTTATGAAACGTCCCCCCATTAATTATAATACGAAGCTTGTTTTGAAATTTTGAAAAGATGGCGCCATGGCCTTCTTCTTCCCGAATGGACAACAACAACCAAAACCTCCACTGTTAATTTTCAAAAACTTTCATTTCTCAACCATTTAAAAAACTTCAAACACCAAACTTGCTTGATTTTTAACAAGGAATCCAACCATGTAATTTTCTAAAGCTATAGATCAAAGATTAAAGCGAATTTTACCAGTACCAAATAAACCATAGAAATTTTCAGTTTCAAAATTCTCATTACACAGTCAATTGAAATGAAATTTAAGGACATGGTTAGCTTCATAAATATGATATCTACATTTTTCTTTCAGAATGTATATGCAAATGATGCTTAAATAAATAATTCAAAGTTTGAAATTTATACCAAGTTGGAGAAAGTCCAACGCTTCTTAAAGCACTTCCAGAAGTAAAGTGATGAACATTTTAGCTTGTTGGGACCTTGGTGAGTGTATTGCAATCCTTATTTTGCTTTGAGAGTGGCTGGAATGTTCTGCCCAAGTCAAGTTGCAAGTATAGAAATTGAAAATGGTGGATGATGATAATGGAGTTACAGAAGTGAAACAAGTGTTTGGATCACTTCTATATGGTGTATTGGTGATGATTTGGTGGTTGGTTTACAAAGATATTGCAAGAGTTATGAGTTTTGATGTTTTGGACTTTGAAGCTCAAAAATGGAGGTTTTGTGGCCAATTTTGGTTTTTGAGAGTATGAGGGGTTTTGAGGGCTTGTGAATTGGTGTCTTGGCTATAAAATGGTCTCTCTATTTATAGGAAAGAGGTTTGAAAGGTTGAAGCAACTATATTTTCAAGATAACAAGTTATGGTTTGGTTGGAAGTGAAAAATCAAGTTAGATGAGTTTATATGGTTTCAATGCTCAACTACAAGCATGTTTTGGAGTTGTTGGATGCAGAGGGTTTTTCAATGATTTTGATCTTGCTTTTGATCAGAGAGAAACATTACAAAGCTCAATGCATTGACATTGTGCAAAAAGCATGCTATGTCAAAATGGAAGTCTTGCATTTCTTCTCAAAATAGCAAAATGTCTTGGTTAAAGCTTGAACCACTTGGATAATAGCTACAAAGAGTGTGTAATCTTCTGATTATGAAGAGATTTGCAAGTTAATAGACCTGAAAAGTGAGATTGTGTAGCAAGGTTGTGAGATTTGGTTATATGTTCATCAAACAAATGACCTCTAACCCAAGTGAAAATGGCCAACTTTGTCTCTTCGAATCTCTTAGCTCAAGCATAATCTTTTTATGCTCTTGGAAATTTTGGAAATCTTAGAACATGATCTTCAACTTTCATGTTGGCTACTTTTGCTAAATCAAAAATAGAACTTGGTGAAAATTGGCCATGAAGTTGAGATGAAAAACTGATCAAAAAAATTTCTAAGTGTTGGAAAAAAGTATTAAAACTTCATGGGCTCATATCTCCTAATCCAAGTATTTTTTAAGGATCATCCCACATTGATAAAGTTGTATAATTTCTTATACCCTATAACTTTCATGTTGATAGTTTTCCTTGAATCAACTTTTATCTTGGGAAAGCTTTCTTGTGATGTTAGGTTTTTTTTGGCGAAAACACTTGAGTTTCTCTAAGTATTTGATAATCTTTCAACTTTGAATTTTGTTGACTTTCTTGATCTTCTTGATTCTTGGTGATCAACTTTGATGATTTTGAATATGTTGATGATACTTGAATTTGAACTTCAATGTTGACCAAAGAAAGGTCAAAGTTTGACTTTTATGTGACAATTGACTTTTTCTTCAAATAAAATCCACTTTCTTATGACCATTGAAATCTTGTGAGCATGATGCAATTGAGATGATGTGATGGCCATGAGATGGTGTTGTTGATGGTACTTTGAAGTAATCAACCTTGAATTCCCAGCCACAAAACCCTAATTCCTGATTTTCTCTAATGAAAGCCAAAACCCCTAATTTCCTCAAACTAAAATGATGAGACCAAATAACTGATGATGCTTTGAGAATGATGATCATGATGATACAAACTCTTAAGATATGAGCTTCTCCTCTTAAAACCTTAATCTTGAGGGAAAATATGATCCCATGCTTTGAGAACACATGCTATGAATGATTGTGATACAGATGAAAATGTATGTGGAGATGAATGAATGTGAGGTTTGAGTTAATTATGGTTGAAACTCAAAAGGAAAATTTTGGGGTGCAACACCAACACCTTTGTGTGTAACGCCGACACCTGGATACCTTCAGGACTTCAGATACAAATGCATGAAAGAGAGATCCAAGAGGTACATAACTGATAAGGTTTGTTGCCTCTTCGAAGCCACGCGAGCAATGGAAAAACTCTACCAAAAGCCTCCTTGAATTTTTCTCAATGGAGATTGCACTCTTAGTTAGCTTCATAACTCCTCGAGACTCTTCATTCAATTATCTTTTATTCACCAATATCACCCAAAATTGCAAAGGCGTTTGTATCGATTAACATGCCAAAAAATAGCGACAAATGATTACCAAATGATTAACAAAGGGTTATCAATAATAGTAAAACTAAATTCTAAAGAACTTCTAGACAAATCCTAAAGAAAATTATCACTATTTTTATATATCCTTTTTTGTACAAAATAAATTAAAAGGAAAATCAAGAAAAATGAAACGAGGGAGGTGGGGATTGACACTAGGTGCTGTAAAGAACAATTGGGCGCTAGGCCCATTTTTAAACTCAGTCCACTAAGTATTTTTGCAGCTTCCAGCAAATTATTTTTCAAATAGTACTTCAAATTAAAAATAGAGAAATAATAAATAGGTCAAAATGAGAGAAACGGCGACGTTTAGTGAATATAGGGTTGAAAGAGTGACTCTTGAACTTCTTCGACCTATCTTCTACTTCTCGGACTCAATCATGACGCGATCTTTCTTTTCTCTTCACCTCCGATTCCGCTCCGACACCATGACGCCACCGTCTCTGTCGTCATCTCATCATCCGTCTTTGCTTCGACTAGCAGTGCTTTCGTCTCTTCACTTCACGAACTCAGCTTCCAAGACTCTCTGGCCATGAATCTTCCTCTGTCTCACTTTCAGCTTCTTCAAACCCTCAGGTTCGATTCAATCCTTCCGAATCTTCTCCTCAAACTTCTTTTTCTCCTTCCTCTTTTCTTCTTCTTCCTCTTCGATCCGCTTTCTGATTTGTTGCGTAGAAATTATTGCGGATTCGAAAGTTACGCGATTGGAGCGTTCTTGGAAGATGTAGATTGAAGATGACGTTGTTACGGTTGTTGATGTGCAGAGAGATTTTTTTGAGAGATGAAGATGATGAAGATGATTGAAGGTGCAGTTTGGAGGGAGAGACGAAGATGATGAAGATGATTGAAGGTGCAGTTTAGAGGGAGAGATGAAGGTTGTTGAAGTTTGATGAGGGAGTGCTTTGCGGATGATTGAAGCAAAGGTTGATGATGTGTGATGAAGATGATGAATTGGTGTTGAGAAGTTGATGATAAAGAGCGGTTCTGAGAAGATGAGGATTGCAGGTTATGGAGAAAGCGTGATGATGATGGTAGAAGGCTCTTCGTTACAGAGAAAGATGAAGATTGAAGGTGATTTTCAGAGAGAGATTGAAGGGAATGGTTGCAAGTTCAGGTGAGAATGGATCATGAGCTCTTGATTTTTCTCCTGAATATGTTATAAAGTTGTTGAAGTTTGTTATAGGTATACAAAATTTGAGCCCTTGAAATCTGAGTCAGTTACAAGGACGGATGGCTAGGATTGAAGGTTATTTCCTTTGATTTTTGTTATGAGTCCAGTTGTAATAGCTTTTTCCTCTGATTTAATTTTCCTGATTTCCTCGTTTAATGCTTTTTTTTTCTTCAAATAAACTGATTTTCCTGTTATGAATTAATACTGATTTTTTTGAACTGATTTGTAAGCAGGTTTGGATATTGGTTCAGGCCACGGGATCACTCTCTTTTTCTCTGCATTCTATCAATATAGGACAGCATTGATGGTTTTATTGATTTTGTGATGTGCAGGTTTATGCAAAGTCTCAGATGCCATTCTAGCAGGGCAGCAGCATATTTTCCTCGAGTCTTCCATATCGGTTTAGAGAGGAATTAGCAAGGATCCTGGACTTGTTTTACAACTATTATGGAATGCTTTTAATGCTTTTGTTTGGACCACAATTTGGAACTGTTTTTGAATTGTATTTGGGCAGATTTTTGAATTGTTTTGTGGACATTATTTTGTGTAACTGAAATATGCCATTGGTTTGATGTATTGCAATTTGGACTACTTTGGATTTGTAAAATGGACAAGGTTCAAGGCTTAGCAAAATAATGGACAAAATGTTTTGAATGTATGTGATTATACGAAATTTTGGACCTTGGGATTTTGTGCTTGAACTTGAACAAATGAATATTGATAAATGAATATTTGTATTTGAAAAGTATTGTAAACTTGAACTTATGAATGAATAAAAATGTTGAATTTGAATTGAATGAACTTTGAACTTGATGAACATAATGATACATGCCTTTTTGTAACTTGATTTCCCATTAAATGCATCTTCCATTTTTAAAACAAATATCAACTTGAACCAAATTTGAATCATATTCAATTCAATGAAAAACCCCTAATTCAATTGTTCCGTCCATGTAAACTTGTATTGAAAGTAACACACTAATGCCTTGACCATGACTTCATCTTTTGTAACATGAATTAAAACCTTAGCAATTTAATCTTCAAATCTTTTTCTTGACAAATTCTTTCCACTTGATGACTTTAACACAAAACAATGCTTTTGAAGAATCCTTTGAAGAAGAAGAATGAAAATTAAAGCATAGAAGAAAATCCTTAAGATAAAATCCTATCGATAATCTTCACATTCATGAATGCTAAAAAGCTCAAACAACGTATGAGAAACCCTAGTCTTCTTGAGATGCTCTTTAATGAAGAAAGGGAGAAAAGGTCCTGAGATGTTAAGAACCGATAATACTCTAATTCTAAGCATTTTAGTTGCACCAATGATGAAACTCTAGCACTCGATGAGAAACCGTGAAGAAGATGAACTTGTAGCTTAATGAATCTTGATAAAGAAATGCTCATGATGATGCTTGCTCAAAAAACCCTAGCTTTCAAACTTGAGTCAAAGAACTTCAAAGCATATTTAAACCTTGATTCCAAGAAAACCCTTGATCCCATGCCCAAAGAACTCATAAAAATGCATGTTTGTGAGTTTATGACCTAATGGAAGATGCAAATGAATGTGAAGCATAAAGTCATTAGGGTTAGGAGATGAGGGCAAATTTTTGGGTACAATACTAGGGATACTCTATAGGAACCAAATTATTCTTGATTTAATACGCTTAATTTCATCGATAAGTTTCTTTGAACTTAGGGCTTAGGATGAATGATTAAAGGTTTTCTCACCAAGGACTTGGGAGTAAACACCCTTAAGAACCGATAATTGATTATGTAAAATAAGTTATTGCAATATTAATGCAAAGTTGTTACAAGAATAAATCACACACTTTCCCTAGCATGTTACATATATTTGTCGAAACAGTTCACCTCATCCATTTACTTTATTCACAATTATTTTATTTTAGTAAATCAAACCAAAACACTAGTTTTTGTTCAGTTGAACACCAATTCAAACTCCATATTTACACACAGTCCTTGAGATCGACATTTAGAGAACTTTTCTCATTATTACTACAGAGGCAAAATATTACACTTGCTATTTTTCCAATCAATTTTTGGCGTCGTTGTCGGGGACTGCCAAAATATAGAGTTTCAATTTTAGTTCAATTGAAATTTTGTTGCTCGTCGACTAAAATTTTATTTCAGTTTTATTATTATTGTTTTTTTACTGTTACTACTAATCTGCGTCTGACATTTGTATGCGAGGAGAACCCTCAGTTTATTTTCCTTTTGACGCAGAAATCGAAAGAACTTTTCGAGAAAGGCATAGACAATCTAGATAGCCATATTAGAATTTGAAGAAGAAGTTATCTCATTTCATTCAGATTTAGGATCAGAGGAAGAACCTATGGCTGAAGATCCACCAGCACCTGAGAGACTACTTGGTGACTACGGTAGGGAAAATACACCGGGTGGTAGGTTGAAAATTGTAAACCAACTGGTGAATGTGCCAAATTTCCAACTGCATCCGAGCATAATTACTCAACTTGAGAGGAGATCTTTCACCAGAAAGGTCAATGAAGATGCTAATAAACACCTGCAACGATTGCTGGCTATGGGTACAACCTTGAAGATTGATGGACACACTGCTTGAAAATTCTGGCAGCAGATACTCAATGTCACAGTGAATGTTATGACACCGTATCTGACTTTCTATAAGACAGTAAATAAAAACAATAAAGAACACAGTCAATTGTTTACCCAGTTCAGTGTGAAACAACACCTACTCTGGGGGCTACCAAGCCAGGGAGGAAATCCACTATAAGAGATATTAATTCAGGAATAAACCAACCAGTTTATCTCCTTCACTTAAGACCTACCCAATGCAACTTCAATCTAAGTTCTACTTAAACCTGAGTTCCTACTCACTCCCCCTCAATCACAGCAGTGATACTTAAAACAATTGACTAATGAATTAATGAAGACACTCTTCAGAACATACACTTGATTATGCTTCACAGCTTTTTAATCAAGTAACACAAACCCTCTTGCTTCACAGCTTTGAGTGATACATAAACCTAACTTGACTTTGCTTCAAAGCTTTAGTCAAGAGACACAAAACACTCTTGCTTCAAAGCTTTGAGTGGTACAAAAACCCTTACAAACAAAACCTATTCCAAGTCACTTATCACAATGATAATTGCTTGGATTACATCAGTTAAAACTATACAGTTTCTGATTGATCTTCAGTCCAAAGAGATATTTTCCAAACAGCAATCCTGTTGAATATATAGCAGCTGTTTCTTCAGTTAGGGTTTCCACAAAAAGCTAGGGTTAATTAGGTTTAACCATAAGACTTGGTCACAAGACTTTATCAACCAGTTTAGGGTTGAGCTAGGTTAACCCAAAGACAGCGGGAGATTCTGTTCTGGAAGGAATGAGCCAACTTCCTGAAAAATCTCAGAATTAACCAAACTGCACTACTGTTAGATCAGTACAGGATGTCTTAACATTTGTTATGACATCAAAAATCCTGTTTACTGATTTTGGTAGAAGGCAATAAATGTGATCTTTTGCAAAATGCTCAGATACACACTCATACACAGTAGCTACTGTATGCCATAATTTTTCTGCATAAAGTACCTAATAAACCAGAATGTTATGACATCAGTCATGACATTCACACACCTGGTTTTACCAAAAATACATGCCAATAACTAAACACTTACAAACTCCCCCTTTGGCAGATTTTTGGCTAAAGCCCCTAAGCAATCAGAGAATATAGAGCAGCAGAATGAATATGACTGCAGAAAAAATATGAGGTCTACCAAGTGATTAACACAGAAATTATCTCCCCCTCTTTAGCCACAAATGGGCCAAAGAAACATGTACTTAAATGTTATACAGTTATCCAAAATAGGTAATAAAAACAACAAATAAAATCTGAAGACACTTGCATCAACAGCATCAGCACCAGGCTTGACAATTCCACCAGACTTTAAGCACTGTCACCTTCAGAGGAGCTACTTTCTCCAGCATTGAGCTGATCTTCAGCAGCACCCTCTTCCCTTCTGTTTCCTTCAGTCTCCTCCTGTTCTAATTTGGCAATTAGGTTTTCTAGAGTCTTTTTCCTGGTCTCCAGCTCTTTGCAGGTCTCTTTCAATACAGCTATAACATCAGATGTATTGGACTGAGTTTTTGCAGATGATGTCTCAGCTGATGTTATGACAATGTCAGGAACATGAGATCCCTGAAACAGCTTGTAGTGTAACCCAAGAGCAGGAGCTCTTTTGCAAGCAGTGTCTCTTTCCACCAGGATATCAGGGTACTGAGCAAGAATGATTCCACATAAGAGGAAGGGAAAGGCAATTGGGCCTTTAACAGCATAACTACCAGCATGTTTTAAGGTTTGATCAAAAATGTACCTGCCATAGTCAAATTCAGTCTTGGTACCAACAACATAAATTTTATGAATCTCCCCAATCCTGTAGAGATGGTTGATTTATGGTTTGTAGGGACCCAGTTGGCTACACCAATCTTGTGCAGGATGGCAAATTTTATGCTTAGCTTGCTAGCATTTAGCTTGCCTTTTGAGGGCCAGCACTTGACTTGTCTTGCTGTGATGGTTTGGCAAACTTCATTGTCAGTAACTTCCAGTTCAGGGCAGGCCTCATTTGATTTTCCAAGAAATTTGTTAATTTCAGATGGAGAGAAATTAACCCTTCTTCCTCTCACATATACACATTCAAAGTCAGCTGACCTTCCATCAGCATATTCATCAGACAAATTCACTATGAATTCCTTGACCAGATTTTCATAGCATTTGGTAAATTTTACCAGTCTTCATTAGTCCAACATCTTTTATCAGGTCCATGATTTCCTTGCAATCCATGGCACCATTGTTTAGTTCTCTTTCCAAGGCTATTCTCTTCAAGCAAACATACTTCCATCTGTTGGCATTTTCAGGGTGGTGAAATGAAATGTTGTCAGTGGGGACTTCAGGAACTCTAGCCATTTTGCTGGAAGGGAGTTTCCTTCTGAGGGGAATGTCTTCAGTATCAATTTCAAAATCTGACTCCTCATCAGAATCAGTAGGCTCAGGTTCTTTTCTCTTCTTTGTTATTGGTTGCCTTGCAGGTTTTGAGAGACTCCCAGCATGCACTTGGGCTTTCACCTTCCCTTTGGACAGTCCAGTCTTCACAGTACCAGTCTTCCCTTCAGATCTGGTTTTCTTATCAGCAGGTTTCTCTTTGTTTAGACCTTTTGCAGCATCTTGATTACCCTTTCTGTTCATCATTCTCCTAGCTATGCTAGGGTTGATATTTGCAATCAGGTCATTGTCTGAGTATTCCTCATCCACATCAATAACAGGTGGTTCAACATTCTTCTCTGAAGGGTTCTGAATATCATCCAGGTTTTCAGATGGTTTTTGAATGTTGTCATTTGGTGTCTCAACATTCTCAGAGACATCTGGATTTGCTTCAACATTTGGGCTTGCTGATTCTTGATTTAATGGAACAGAAATCCCCGGTACAGAGTGGTTCTCACTCAGGATTCTTGTAACAAGCCTAGCTATTGCTTGATGTACATAAGCCGATCCTTCCCTATTAGGTACAGAAGATGAAGGTTGAGCGGGATTACCGGATGGCGTAGCCTGAGACCTTCCTGCATGCCTTGTTCTCAGCTTTTTGACCTTGGAAGGGTTAGTTGCTATTTCTCTGAGAGGAGTAATCTCCAGGACTTCAGAATCCATGCATGAGGTGATTGCTCGAGAATCTTGATCAGATGATGAAGATGAAACGGTTGTCTTGGATGAGGATGAAGTTTGAGACATTTTGATTGACTTGGAAAACCAGTAG